AAGGAAAGGCCTTCTCACAAGAAATATACAGGTTAAAGTTTTTCAAAAGTAATTCAAACATCAAGGTCAAGGTCAAATGGTCAAAATTAATGGTGCCTAAGGAAAGGCCTTCTCACAAGAAATATACAGGTGAAATATGAAAGCTGAAGCACCAATCGTTCAAAAGTTATGACCAAGGTTAAAGTGTTTCAAAAGTAGGTCAAACTCCAAGGTCAAGGTCAAAGGGTCAAAGTTGTTGGTATCCAAAGGAAGGTCTTGTCACAAGGATTATATATGTGAAGAATGAAAGTCCTAGCACCAACGGTTCAAAAGTTATGGCCAAGGTTAAAGTTTTCCAAAAGTAAGTCAAACTCCAAGGTCAAGGTCAAAGGGTCAAAGTTGTTGGTATCCAAAGAAAGGTCTTGTCACAAGAATTACATATGTGAAGTATTAAAGCCCTAGCACCAGCGTCAGCGATTCAAAAGTTATGGCCAACGTTAAAGTTTTTCAAAAGTAGGTCAAACTCCAAGGTCAAGGTCAAAGGGTCCAAGTTGTTGGAATCCAAAGGCTGGTCTAGTCACAAGGATTACATATGTGAAGTATTAAAGCCCTAGCACCAGCCGTTCAAAAGTTATGCCAATGTTAACGTTTTACAAAAGTAGGTCAAACTCCAAGGTCAACTCCAAGGTCAAGGTAAAGGGTCAAAGTTGTTGGTATCCAAAGAAAGGTCTTGTCACAAGGATTACATATGCTACATATGCTAAGTATGAAAGCCTTAGCACTAACCGTTCAAAAGTTATGGCCAATGTTAAAGTTTTTCAAAAGAAGGTCAAGGTCAAAAGGTCAAATATGGTGGTACCCAAAGAAAAGTCTTGTCACAAGGAATACACATGTGAACTATGAAAGCCATAGCTCCAACCAATCAAAAGTTATGGGCAATGTTAAAGTTTTTGCGGACAGGCAAAAGCTAAACAGACAGACAGACGGACGGACATGGCAAAAAATATATACCCCCGAATCTTCGATACGGGGGCATAAAAAGTTTTAAGTCATGGTTCCTATGGAAACATGGCTAAAGAAATTTCCCTAGCAACAAGTCAATTTTCCATGTGTATGGACAAAACAAAAATCACTAAACTTTAGGACTTGAAATTGATTGTGAATATTTAAGAATTTCTTCTTATTTATTCCTATCGTAAAGATATACATTTAGAATGTTTTCACAATGCATTACATAGATATAAGATTTTGAGATATATCTGTGGTAGACTTAAAAGTGGAAAATGTTTGCAAATGCAGTGTTCAGTTTATTTATGTTGGACTTTGCAAATGTTAAGAATGCTTGTATGATATTAATAAAAATTGAATAATAGACTGTAGAGTCCAGATTACAAAATTTTTAGATCTAAGAACAGATTACTCTAACTCCATAAAAATCTATACTTATAAATTAATAAATTATGCAAATAAACTCCGAAACGGGTGCACCAGAGTTCTTACTAACTCCTTTATGAATACACTAGATACAAGATGATGTCTGTAAACTATATTCAGATTTCACTCGCATAGTAAATATCGTACATTAAATTAAAAGTCTACTTTCAGTTCCTATAAACAGCCATGAAATAGCAAAAACGTGAGTACGGTGGCGGTTCCGGTTGGCGGATCTAAGTTACTGGCAATTTTTAATGAAACTGACAACAAGCAATCGTTGATTTATTTCATAAAATGTCATCACTGAATTATTCAATCAAAACTTGATTTAAATGATATAAAAGAAATAAGTTGTGATAACCGATTTAAAAGGGAAATATGCAAATTACTTTTGTCATTCACCAATCTTGATATTGACGGAAACTTCTAGAACATCATATAGCATCGAGCCCGATGTTAAAAAGAAAAACGAGGCGATTATAGCTGCGTGAATATAACCCCCCCCCCAAAAAAAAAACTTTTGTGTGAATGGTCATTGAAATAATGGTAAATCATTGATAACACTATAAGTTGCGAATATATTTATATATCGAAAGACTATTATAGTAGGTTTTCCTAATAAATTTATCGGTAAAATTTGTATATTCTCACTAAGAGGATAGTGGCAAAGAACCCGACGTACAATTTGTACTTCGTAATAAATTTACATGAAAAGAGAAAATTAATGAATAAGGTATTGTTCAAATACAATATGAGCTGTTAAAATTTTGTGCTTTAATCAATACATTTCAGTTTTTTTTTTCTGAATACAGTTTTTTGTATCAAATACTCGGTCTTTACATAGGGCATTAAAAGCTAATGTTTACAAAAAAAAAAAAAAAAAAAAAAAAAAAAAAAAAAAAAAAATCCTTGACGGAAATGAAATAAGAGCACCTGAAGTACAATATCCATAACATAGTATAACAGGTTTCACAATAAACGTATCAATTAATGAAATTGTTATTTTTCCAAGTTTTTACAAAAAAAAGGGGGGTGACGTACATCTACTTCTGCTCCAAAGCTACAATTTATATTACTGGAATTTTTCTGTCGGTAGTGGTATAAATTCAATCCCCGCGCTTGCGCGGGATTTCATCTAGTTCCATAGAATTGAGCTCTTCAGTGTGCAGTGGATAGAGGGTTCTTAAATGAAAATCGTCGTTTTTCGACCCTCATTCGGCCCCCGGGGGGAATCTTATTTCACATCTACAGGTCACCATCAATTGCCTTCTAAAAGATACATGTGACTGGCTATTGACTAAAATGTAAGAGGAGTTTTGGAACTAAAAATTGTCATTTTTGACTACCTATTTGCTCCCAGGATGAAAACTCTGAAACCTTACTGCAAATCTACAGGACACCACCTATTATATTTCAAAAGATGAAATGACCACTGCTTAAATTATAAGAGGAGTTTGAGAAAGAGGAAAGTGTGACAGACGAACAGATGGACCAGGATAACAATTATACATACCCGAAATTTCTTTTAAAAGTGCAAGTATGACAAACGTGCTTTCAGTATTTAAATTTTCATATTTTTTTTTTATTTTACAATGAATATATTTGATACTTTTTTTATATAAAAGAAAACTAACGTGTTCGGTAATAAATATTACAACATCCGTCCTTTATCAATATGTAATGCAGTTGTAATGTGGAAAACAGCAATTATAAATGATTTCACGTGGGGGGGGGGGGGAGGATTCAATTGCATGATTGTTTGTTGTCTTTTTCGTTAATCTGTTTTAAAATACTTCTTTACCATTATTCACCAAAGCTTAAAATGTTTTTAAGTAGTCAATGATTGCTGTAATTTGTAGACTGTATCTGTCAAGTTCAAGTTCATTTATTCACTCAAAACCATCTAAATATATGATACATGAGGACAATGTAAAATATTTACGGTATATAAATTCAGGTCAGAGATACAAGTATATGATATACTTATTCAAAAATGAAAGTGGAGGAAAAAAAGAGATAAATACATGTACATACAATAATGGTATTAATGAGGAAAAAATCCCGGAGGACAGAATGAATCGTATATTCTTGATATAAACATACAGAGTTTTTTTTCAATGTCTTAGCATCTTGTTTTGTCATCAGGTGAGAAAATGTAAGTATATTTGGCCTAGCAAAGAAGTGTACATTAATATATTTTTTCGAGTGTTTGACAATGTAGTACATTCAAGTATAAAATGGAATTTGTTGGCTACATGTTTAGTTTTACAAAGTGTATAAAATCTTTCATTTAATGGTATACCTTCCCATCTTCCCAGTTCAACTGTAAGTCGGTGATTAGAAGTACGAAATTTTACTAGTATTTTTCTAAATTTAATTGCAAAATACTTCAATATTTTTCACATTCAAAATTTGAGTTTGTACACAACACCTTTGGATGACCTATTAATGACAGCATGGCATTTTTGTATAAATTGATCCTGTAATCTCTGCTTTACAACAGTAGTAACCCAATTTTCATTGTGACTATAACAAGACTGACTATTCCAAATATTAGATAGTCCACATTAATCAAAAGTCATAGTCGATCAATGTGTTCATACTAATTTCAGATTTTATTATTAATCTGATTGTACCGCGTGGTTCATTAGTGTGCAATTCAATTCATTTACCTTCAAAAATAAAATTTAAAACATTTTGCGTGATTTTTCTTTTCCTTTTTTCTCTTTTTTTTTTGTTTGTTTGTTAGAAATTGCTTTCTGAATGTTTTTGATAATGTTAGTGTCAACAGTGAGGTTTTTTTTAAAAAAGTATCATTGTTTTAATCATATCTCGAGAAAGTTTTCTATTTGTTGAGGTATGTTACTACATTTTCCATAACATCCTTCTCCTTGGTGTTATTATAATTTACCTTCAATATATGTTCTCTATTTCAGTCTTTCAATTACTACAGTAGCGGAGTAATTAATTATGAATGCAGAGAGAGATGATGATAAAACATCAAATTTCTTTGATCTCAAAAAATGTTTAAGTGTTGTTTGTGCCAGATTTTTACGTTCCCTGCTTGTGTGCTTTTTCCCAATACTTGCACGACTGAAGGACGCTATACCGACAAAATGCTTTAAATCAAAAGATTCGAATGGTTTTATTTCTATAAAAGATGAAAAGATTATCTATAGTGAGGAGCCTGACCCAAACAAATTTAAGTTTCCATTATTGTATCAAATATTTCGGAGTGGTGTCTGTGATGAACACATAAATGGAGGCCCCCGTGTTGGATGGGGTTCTTCCGAACAGCCATCACAAGATGATGTGGAAGTTGGTGATGATATTCTAAGACTTGGTCATATTTGGGAAGGTCATTTAGAGGACAATGAAGAAGAAGAAATATCACATGATATCAGCAAAAGTCTATGGAATGCTTTGAACTTGATTTCTAAACGAATGGCAATGAAATATCAAGAATGTGGTAGTATTTTTGAAGAGCAAGTTCGTAAACAAATGGGTAAACATATTTTTGAAATTACTGTTAATGCTTTTCTCTCAGTTTTCTGAATCAATGGTTTAAAAATCCCTTAATTTTTTTTCCTTGTGTAGGCCAAAATATTCTAATCAACGCGGACAATGTTCAGTTGGGCAACAACAACACAATGATTGCGAACGTGATGGATACTGAACGAGTTTCATTTTCCCAGATAGGTGAAAGTAATAAAATACTTGTTGACTTGCATGACAATCGCAGCAATATGAAATTGGAATTTGGAGGAAAAGGTAATTTTTTTAAATGGGCAATAGAAAATTAGGGGATGTATATAAATCAATGAAAATGTATATACTGATTTAAAAATAATACTGGCAGTTACTGGATAAGACTTCAAATTATTCAAAATGCTATTTCAATCTATTACATGTTTTATTAAGGCCTGATCCCTGTGTGAATTTAAACAACATTTAAAGAATGTATACTACAATTCGGAAGAAATTTAAACACTTCTGAATATTAATTATGTTAGACTATCTACACAATTTAGTGGCATAAATTTGTGTTATGTAGATGCTACATCTGATCTTTGAATACATCTTCTTCACTTGCAGAATTAAGGTTACGATTGCAAACATTTGGAAGCGAGGAGGAGGAAATTGAGAATTCAATAAGGAATGCTGATATAAATGAACTGAACAAACGTTTGAAAGAAATGAATTGTCCTATTGTTAAAAGAATTGAAACTGGTTGTCTTATTATTGACATAGAATCCAAAATTTCATTTTATGGGGACCTGAAGAAAGAAATCGTCATCATCTTAGATCTGATTTTCAGCCATAGTGGTGTATACCAGTTGATAAAGAAAAAAAGGATAGAAGAACTGCATATGTTTTGCTACTTTTATTATACAGACATTTGCTATGCGCCAAACGGTAAACACCATATTTAATTTCCTGAAATAACCTTGTAGGGTTGCAGGTGAGAGATGATATCAATGGGGGGGGGGGGGGCATGCGATTGGGTTATTCAGACTCAGTTACTTTTTAGCTCATTTGATCATGAGCCATAAGATCAAGTGAGATTTTTCTGATCATTTGTTGTCATTGTCTGACTTCTCTAGAACTAATGAGCCAATTTCAACCACCTCGGCTTAAGAAGTCCTTGGGTAACAAGGATTCAAAATAGTTTAAATGATGTTTTAAATACGTTATTGGACCTTAAGACGATTTTATGTAATGCTGGTTGCAATTAACAGCAAAGAATAAAGTTATGAATAGTTCAAATGATTCATTTTCATAACACAATCGCTAAAACATACCAGTAGTAGAATTCAGGTATAAAACATAATTAAAAGCATTTTCATTTATGATTGGTATTGTTGTTTTTCTTTGAATTAGATACTTTTCTTACCTAGAATCATCAGCATATTTATAGTCTCGTATTACTGGTATTTCAAAATACTTCTACATTGATTTACAAATTTAAAATAAATTTACAGTGTATATTTAAAAAGAGTTTAAATGAAGTCCTTTTAAGAGGAGAAAATCGAGGGGGAAAAGGAAAGAAAAATAGGGTTAAGTCATTCAAAAATCTTAATTTTTCTCAAAAACAAGTTTGCCAGAAAAAAATTAAGTTCAACATGAGAATAACTGGATAAATCTTCTCAAGAACAATAGGGTATAGATAAATCATATTAATGAGTAGAGCATATATATATATATATATATATATATATATATATATATATATATATATATATATATATATATATCCTCTACTCAAGAACGGAAAGGCCATGGTTAGTCACATTTTAAATATGCATGCATTCTCAGTTAATTCAGATTTAGAGTTGTTCCAATCTTGATCCTGGAGGGAAGGATTGGACCATAATACGGTATACACAATCTGACATAGGAATACGTCATAGTCCTCTGGCATTTTGCTGGTCCTAATTAGCTGCTATGTCTAAGATTCCATTAAAGAAAAATAAAGCAATGTTATACTAGTACAATTACATATCGTAAAGATTTTGTCGCAATACTTTTTGTACATTTAGTTTTAACAGACTGAAGATTTTTCTGTTACCTAGATAAAATTACTCGAGTTCAAGTGGTGAATCACACGACTTTAAAGATGTCAGAGTTAGCTGTATGTGATGTTGATATATATGCTTCATATACACTTCAAAAACTAGCAGCAAACGATTTTACCACTGAAAGTAAGTCATTATTTGTCTTGCAATTTTGTTTATAGCACTTCAAAATACATTTATCACCTTTTCGAACATTATTTGGTTTCCTTTTACAGCACATGAGCAAGTTATGCTTTTTATTTCTGGAGAAGTTGTACAGCCAGAGAACTTGCCTTTAATTGACATTCATCATGTATTGGCAACACGTATTGAAAGGTGCCAAACCAGTGAATCTATACAGACTTCCCAAGTAATACTAAACCACGTCGAGACTCGTTTGTCTGGTATTCAAATTTCAATCACAACCAAGCATAAAATAGCTTACAGTCATCTGCTCTGCAAAACCGGACCAATTCCAGAATTTTTGAGAAGCGTTTTATTCACAAATTTTCAAGAGGATGAAATGAAATTAGTGCAACTAATGAGACTTTGTGTGATTATGACAGTGCCTTTAGATTATGACGACAAAACAAAAGGTAATGTAACGTTAATGTTATCAACATTTTGGTAATGAAAATGCAACAATTTTAAAGTTTGTGTGGAATGAAAATAAATGAGTAAATTATGAATTCTATTTTATGTATCTTGCAGGTGTTGATTTCTATCTAGAAGCAGGTTCACAATTATCGGAGGCAATAGAAAACGAAACCTTTCCATTAATTGTCTCCACACTTTTAGGTGGACGTGATGGCAATCTACCCCAAAGTGTGGAACAGCTGAAAGTGAGAGCTGTTCTTGAATACACAGACGGTAAGATATTGAGGTGTCGTTTAGTGCATTTCAAATAGCTTCCTTTGTGTATCTTAAATGTCTTAACCATTTGGTTTAATAACTACCCCTTATTATATTGTTGAATATTACATAGGGAACGTAAAAATGTTGCAAATTTTGTTTCAGAGGTATACTCTTATAAAACGGGGACGTAGCATCGTTTTTGAAAGGGGGAGGGGGTCAACCATAGAAAAAATTTCAACTTACCTGAAGAAAAAAAACTTGACAAGCAAATAAAAGAAAAAGCAAAGTCGGGGGGGGGGGGGGGGCAAGTTCCAACTTCTTTCAGTACCAAATCTTATTCATACACTACATTACATTACCCTTATTTGACTATACTGCAACAAAAAATGGGGGGGGGGGGAGGTTGCAACCAGCCTTTCAATGAACATTTTCAATGGTAAAAGTTATGTTTGGAAAAAACGGTGCCCCCCGATGCTACGTGCCTGTAAAAGTAACAAAAAGTATAATTTATACGTACTATTCTTAACTTCTGCGTAATTGGAACATAGTGATCATTTCAGATCAATCTGACGAGGATAGTGATCAAGCTATAGATATTTCAGAATGCCCAGAAACAGAAGATATTGAAACCCAGCTCTCAAAAAGAATTGAAGATTCAAGACGCGAAGTGAACGAAGGACGTTTACAGAGAGCTAAAGATATAGCACATGACGTATTTAACAAGTTAACAGAAAATGACTCCGAAGACGTTAACATGTTTAAAAACCTGTTGGAAATATTTGAAGAGGTACACCATGCTCTATATAACTTTACAATAATTGTAGAGTTGTATTGTGTTAATGCAGACCTTCCGATCAGAAAAACGGGGTTGCAATTGTTATTTGATTCCACGAGCGATTTGAGAAAATGAATCTCTGTTAAGATTTTCCAGCTGAAGAATGAAGATGATAACCTTGAGAACTGTCAACAAAATGGCCTTTCTTTTAATTGAAAATTAAGTTGAAGTCTTTTTGTGTATTCTGTAAGATAAAACATTCTTTGTACGTTCGAAATTTTCCCAATTTCCAAGACCAAACAGAAAAATAATTTCATAAATATTTTAAATTATTTTGCTCATCGAGAAATGTACCTAAAAACGAATCGCACACTTTACGAATGAAGCCGAAGGCTAACATAAAAAAAGTGTGCGACTCGTTATTAGATTCATTTTTCGATGAACGAAATGATTTATATAGTCAATGCTTATAATTCAACTTTAGTGACAATCATGCTTCTTTTTTGTACATACTCGTTATTTAGCTAACTCGAAAAATTGTGCTCGAAATTTACATGCTGACAACTGCGTAGAAATTTTTCGATTAGAAATGTACAGGGACGGACCCAAAATCCTGTAGTATACAAGGCGGATAAAATTCTCTTAAAAATTATAAAAATGAGAATTTCTCCGCTTTAAATATTGTCTGTATAATAATTCACAAGGTTTATCAGTTAAGTCCGCTATGAAAATCTGCACATGCAATTATTAAAGAGATTGCAACACATAGCAGGCAGAAAGTTGCTTTGTTGTCAGAAAAAACTGGATCAAGGGTCACACGTTGAGTGGAGTGCCACGAAAAATTTAAAAAGAGACATCTTCATGTTTAAATAAATTTCTGAAAATTAACTTGCTTGTCGATATGCATCAGTAAATTTAAACTTGATAGTCAGTTAACACCCTCAAAAAGTTTGTGCAGACGAAATACAAACAGTCCAAATGAGAATAAAATTCACATCAAGAAAATCTTATTCTAAAATCATGCTTTTTAAATTATTTTATATTTTTATAGGCTATATAAAAAGTTTTACTTTTTTCTAGTTTGCTTTCAATTTATACGAAATTTAATGTAATTTTGTTACTTGAGAACACAATACGCAAAACACATGCATGCTTTTTTACAGTGATACTCTTGCCATCCCCGGCATTAACGAAGGACAGCAATTATATCACTTAATAAATCACTTGAATATTTGTCTTTTTTTTAACTCAACCATATTTTTTAATTGTATTTTTTTTAATTAAGAAGACACGATTAAAATATATTTTTAAAATCATAAATAGAAAAAAATTATAGAAGCTGAATTGAAATCATGAAAAGAACATAATAATTTTTCGGGGGAGAGTATTAGTTTATAATTATGTCATATTCCTTTCATTATTATACTGACTTAAAATACATATTGATGACTATTATGAAAAAAAGGTTCGGCCACGGATTTGAAATTAATATCATTGAAAAATGAACCGAACAATCTCCCTTTAGAATGCATTAAAGTAAGGAAAATTAATTGTATTCTAATTCTGCTTTTAATATTGCACGATGAAATTTATTTTCAATTGTAATTCTATTTAACTAACAATCTTTTATTTTTTTTTCTCTTTCAGTGTGCTGATAATTTCTACGCATTGAAATGTTTTTCGAGAAGTATGAAGAATTTTATATATTTTTCAATATTCTAAGGTTTAGCCAACTAGCTTCAGAAATAAGTTAATGATCAATTGTTAGTTGTAAACTCAGTGCTTGTATTTTCAGTGCGCATCATCAACAAAATCGAATTAGAGTTGGACTCGCCAGGACATTTCATACTTTTATCAATAGCAATGCAATACTGGGTTAGAATCGTTGAGGGACCTTACGAATTTGAGGTATCATTCATTTTGTAAAGTAAAAATTTCCTTGTAACTGTAAATGATGATAAGATTTTGATTGGACATGTGTTTCAGAAGAATTTTCCTTCAAAATGATATTTTACATATGCCTTATTTTTAACCCACAAGACATTGTCAGAAATATTCAGAATAATAGACCTTCGTTATGCTTGTGCATTTCAAATACGCCCCTACCCTTGAATAAAGGGAACATATTGGATTGTACCTGTCGGTCGGGAGTTTTGAAGTTAGGGCGGGACTCTTTTGATTGAATAGTGAACATGCATGAAAATCTACCTCCTTTCTCCTGGGTATTTAGCAGACTAAATGTGTGAGAGTGCTTCCTACAAAATTGTGAAATTCTTGGCCCCTGGGACCGGGGTTCTGGATTTAGGGTGGGGCTCAATAAATACCATGTATGGAAACTTTTACTCTGCTTTAAGAGAAATCATTCCCCTTTGTTATTCACCTATGATAATGAATCCTCGTAAATAATGCAATAGATTGGGCCACCTTTAAAAATTGTTTGTATGCCCTCTCCCGACCGACTGACTAAAAACGGCCCGACTCAAAACTTTGTTAACATCCAGGAAACAATTTTTTTTTTATTCATTCCAAAGTTTTCTCACCTATTTATAAATATTTTAACTTCATATTTGCAAGTGCTTTTGAATAAAAAAATTTACCCCTACCTACTTACCCACATTTTTTATCCTGAGTCGGGAGAGGCAAGCAAACATTATTTTTTTTTAAAGAGGGCCTTGGTAAATGGTCATAATTTTTACTGTATAGTACAAAAAGTGCTTTTAAAAGTTTTTAATGGTCAGAGGAAATTGTAAATAATACATGAATAAAAATGAAAGAAAATACTTATATTTTATATTAAATGTTATTCGAAATCCAAGAGAGGCCAATGGTATGAGAGGTATGCAGGGCTTTCAATATGAATACTGTGTTAATTTCTTTCTAAAGCAGTAACGTGTTGCTTAGTTTGGTGATAGAGGTTAAGTTAGCACTGCGACATACAGGCAAGTAAATAGATCTATTTTCTTGGCGGTTGGTGAATACCTGACTATTTTGTTGATCCATGCATGATCGTCCTATTTCTCTTGTTTCTGAGCAATAAATATTCGTCCATCAGTTATTTTGTTTTGTTATATAAATATTAAATTGCCAGTCTATGAATCCGGGTTGTATTATACTCAGTTATTTAGCTATTTATATGGCCAAAGAGGGAACAACCTGTCAGATATTATCTCAGGGTAATTACAAACGGGACTTGTGCAGCCATTAATTCTGAAAATTTCGTATATTATGCGCCAATTTGCGCCGTTTAATATAGAAAACATCTCAAACAACACATACTCCTTCCTCCTACATGATAAATCTAACAAATTATACGGATTACATTATTTGCCAAAAATAAGTTTTTTGGAAGAATATTTCTATATTTATATATTTCTTGGTTGAAAAATGAAAAAAAAAGTAATAACTAACTTGTCATTGATATATTTTTGAAAGAAATTGTAGTCTTTATTTTTGTTTTATAGAAAATCATGGACATGTTTCTAGAAATGGAAAATATGGCATTTGAATTTCTGGAGGATGATCAGTATGCTACTGCTGCCGTTCAATTATGTCGCGAACTACAAATTTCATATTCACATTTGTATTCCATATACAAACAAGGAAATGTGGGAAAGGAAAAAATGGAAAAAATACAAGCGAGACAGCGTGTGGTCGATTTACACGTGATCAAAATGTTTTATCGAACGGTAAAGCTTTTGACTATGTTATCCCATTAATTTTTCTTATTTTTTGTTTTGGGTATTTCACAATCGATTGATTTCTTTTAAATGTATATTTGGGATGTTCTTACCAAGAACGTATTCATTTGAATTCAAACTTTAAGAACATAATAACTTGTTTTAGTATGGATTTACCTGATAATAGTAACTTGTATGATCAAAGTAACCGGATTTAATTAGTGTTTCACATGCAATTAGTCAGATAAATATCTCTTTCCCGACTGTTTTATCAAAATTAATAATAATCTAAACATTAATCTCCATTGTACATGATTAATGATCCTGTAATTTTTACTTGCTTTTTCATATTTATCTCACGTTTTATGAAAAATGTTCCAGCAGACAATTATCATGATCATCTTTTAAGTCTTTGATATTTGCTAGTAATTACATCGCTCAGCAATCACAAAAAGTGTATAAAAAGAGCTATTGATATATTAAAAGAAATCCTCTGATAAACTATTGAGTTAATGTTTGAATTTTTTTCTTTTTTTTGTGTTTTTTAGGAAGATTATGACACTATCTGTTCCATATGTAGGGCTATAGGTAAGTTTGATATAATGCATATAAGTAAATTATAACTTTTTGTACCCTTAAAGCTCAAGAAAGGAACGAGCAGATCATTTTATGTGCACTATTTATCCTTGTTGTGGAAGTTTTATTTACACAATAGATAGGACAAACTCGATTTCTTTGGGGCGTCAACACGCTGTATTGGAAAGGCATGAAGTCTGGATTGCTGCACTATGTTAGATATATCCAAAGACTTTTGTTCTCTATGTTACGATAAATTATGGTTTTGAATTATCCTTCTTAATGTGAATATAGTGGCTGTTGCTAGGCAACGTATCTCTTTCTTTAAAGTTCTATTTAAAGAAAATATCATTTTTCGATGTATGCATAGATTGCTAAACATATCATATTTAATACAAAATCATTGAATATCTAGAAACTTTTATAACAATGAGATATATAAACGATGGAATTACTTCTCTGAAAAATACGTAATTCAGTAAGAATATAGTTGCTATTTTCCTCATTTTGATATTAATCTTATTTCAAGAAAAGAGACATTTGTTGGAAACAGAAACTTTAATAATGTGGGTTCAAGCCCTTCAAAGATTAGGCAAAGTTGACGTTGCTCTGAAAAAACTTGAAACGACGTCAATCATTGAGGTAAGCATTTGAGCTCAAGAGAGCTTTTCTGATCAGTTGTTGTTGGCCGTCCGTCAAGCAGTCTGTCCATCCATCCATTCATAAAATGTACACATTTCTGACTTTTCTAGAACTCTATGGCAAATTTAACCAAACATGCTACAAAGCATCATTGGGTAAAAAGATTTAGATATGTTTAAATGAAGATTCCACATCCTAAGTGGGGATAATTAAAAATGAGTGGCCTCTTTTAAAACTCTTCTAAAGAATAAAAAAAAATCCAAAAATTATGCGTACGCTGAATTCCCCCTTCATTGGTAGGCGGAGTCTCTCACCTATAAGATGAAGGCACTTTCTTTTACTGACACAGAACATTTGCTAAAAAGTGCAATTAAATGAACGGTTTTGTATTTTTTTTTTTTTAGATAGGAAAGATGATAAGAGATTAATAAGAGACAACTTAATGTAAACATCAAACTACAATTGAGAACAAATCAATTTATATGGAATTATGCATGGATATATATATATATATATATATATATATATATATATATATATATATATATATATATATATATATATATATATATATATATATATATATATATATATGTATATATATATATATATATATATATATATATATATATATATATATATATATATATAAACCAAAAAAAAACATTCTTCTTTCTATGTTTTTGTATGTTTTCAGTTATGGTTGATAAGTTGCACCACTAAGGTTTTATAAATGTTTTTTGTCCCCACAGTCTCTCTTAAGTCTAACAACATCTTATTAGCTAGTTTGAATTTCAAACATTATACAATTATTGTTGTTTTTGAGGTCAAAACGATGATTAAGCCACCTGAGGAGTGCAATATTCACCGAGCCCGAAGGGCTTCGAAGGTGGCTAAATCATCGTATTGACTGAAAAAATTGTTTTAATATATGATTCATTATAATTAAAAATGATGCAAACTCATTAAGCAATCCATGCCATAGTTTTTACTTTTTACATTTGCTGAAGTCCTAGTCAATTGCAATGGGAGAAACTGGGTTAAAATTAACATAACCAGTTTATTAATTTGTTATTCTTAAATCTATTTTAGATACAATGTAGAAAGAATAAATGTCAGGCACGTATATAGGATCGATTTTAAAAAGAGGGACATTATAATGAAAAAAAAAATTGACAACTTACCGGAAAAAAAATCTTTGACTCCCCCCCCCCCCCAAAAAAAGGAGGAGAATTCTCCCAACTCCATTATGGGTGGTGTTAGGTGCTAAGTTCCATTAATCGGGAGGGGGGGGGCACAAGTCCTTCAATGAACATTTTATAATACATAAAAATAGAGATTCACGTTCAGAAAAAAAGTGGGGGGAGGGGGCAGGTCCCTCAACCCCCTCCACACCCACCCCATTACCCCAGATTCTATGTGCGTGAATGATATGTTCACCTAAGTGGAAGTAGGTGCAAGTGAAATAATTTTCTTAAGGGGGACCGATCCTCTGATAAGAGAGATAACTTTCTCTTGAGTAAAAAATCCTAAAATTACTCATAGCTTTTTTTTTCTTTGGTCCATAATTGAGACCTTTGAGTAGTTAATTCGATCAAACATGAAATTTAATGGAAATATTAACTTCTTCTCCCTTTTGCCTATACTTTTCAAATTGTTTTATTATATTTGACAAAAAACATTTAAATCCAGTTTTAAAATCCCTATAAATTGAATAAAAATTGAAAATCTTTTTATTGACCATTTTAAAAATGCTTTAATGTATCAAGTGCCAAATGTAGAATTTTTATTAGCATCACATTTTTTTCCATTGAAAAAATATAAGAAAGATAACTCTTGCTGATGGGATGTATTCTTTTCTTACAAGCACCTATAACATTGTGCTATTCTGACTTAGGAAGCAGCGCTTTATTATGTTTTCTTATACGAATTAAATAGGTATGACAATAAATATTATTTTCATATACACCTCATATTTTTAATTTTATGTTGTGAAAATAAATTATTACTCTTCCTATTCTCTGACCTCATACTATTTTTCATTTGAATCTAATGCTATAGCTCTTGATGAAAATCAATGTTCGGAAGTTTTAAAAAATTATGAAATTTAGAAGCAGGGTCATTAGTCCTTAAACTATTTGTTACACTTTGGAATTTCCCAATCTATTTTTAGTCCAATGTAGAAAAAATAAAATGCAGGTGAACATAACGTAGTATTTTTCTAACATTGTTGGATCTCAACCAATCAGATAGATGGGAAATATTCAATTATATAATAAATCTTGTTGATATGATGCATAGAGTTCAGATGAACAGACAAAACAAATGGTTAAGAGAGTACACGGTGAATTGATAATGGACCAAGATGCAAATTTAAAGAAAAAAGGGGATTTAGATATGGACTGGTTAGAAGATACAAATTTTCGGAAACCAAAACAAGTAGGTCATTTTAATATTGATTGTTGTATTAGCTGTATAAAAGTAAAGATTTCTTTGATTTGTCAAAATCATATGACGTAAATCTTGTATTGAAAACTTAAGATGAAGAGTCATTCAGAAAATCAACACTTTAAAATATTCCTTTTCTTAAATATCAATACTTTATGGCTGTTCTACCTACGTTTTATTGTTAAAAATGCATGTACATGTTTACATTTGATATAGATGCAGGAAAGTGCAATGAAAATCTGGAAACAGCATAAACCGAAAAATAGAAAGAATCGACGTAAGTAGAATTTTATTCCCACACTTTCTAAATTCTTGTCTTTGTTTTAACAGAGACACTGATTATTAACAATAAATCAATTAAAGATTGTAGTATTTTTAAACATAAAAGAATCATTTTCATTCAGCAAAGCGACAAGAACAAAAGGATTGTAAACAAGCTGACAGAATGAGTGAGCAACGACCAAAAATGGAATTTTATGAAGATTCTGCGAAGTTTAAATCTTGGAAAGATGTTCCTCCATATATCCCTGAGCCAGATGAGAAAACGAAGAAGCGGAGACAAAAGAGACCTTCTGAATCTGTTCCAGATTTAAACGTTATTGAATGTGAAAAGCCTGATTTGGCTGAAATTGATTCAGGTCAAGAATCAGATGATGAAATTCTGCAACAAGAATATCAAATAACGATTTCAGATCCAAACTATAAGCATTCTAAAGGAGGAGAAGATTATAGTGATGAAATGCACGATACATGGTTTGAAAGTGCATCAGATGAAGATTATCAAAGCAGCGCGGAACTGGTTGAAAATGGATTGGAATTATCAGTAAAGTGTATAGAAACATTCAAACATCATAAACCAAGCTTCCAGTATCCCCCTGAAGAAAACATAAACACACTTGGGAAAAAATTACAAAGTAATAGAGATTCCTATAAGAAATGCATAATTGAAATAGATTCTGCTCATAAAGCTCTCTGCAGGAATTTGGATTTAGCTGATGATATACAAGAGATTTTCATATCAGGAAGATCGAAGTGTGGGAAAGCATTTTCAGAGGATGAAGTAATTGTAGAGGTGTTGGGTCAACCGAAGTCAGCTGAAAAATCTCCTGAAACAAACAATTTCACAAAAGATACTAAAGTGTATGGCAAAGTTCTTGGAATTCTGAAACGAAATCGATATCAAGACATTCGACATCCGGTGCTGGTGTGCGCAAAAGACGAATTTTTGCCTTTTATGATGAAACCCCTCTGCAAGACAGTTCCAAAAATACAAATTTGCCACAGGAAATGCGAAAGCAAACACCAACTAGACCTATACTCATTTGACAGGAATAATAAATGTATTGAGTATAGCAAAACGATACAAATTGATCATGTTGAGCAAAGAGCTTATTGTTATTTGGTTGCCATAATACACTGGGAAGATATGTATCCATTGGGTGTTACACTACAGGTGATCAATATCAAAGATGAAATACAATCAGGCATAGATATCTTAAGACTTCAGTTTCGTGTACCTGGATCATTTAGTACTGAAACAATTGAAGAAGCAAAAAATATTCAAAGAATTACCCAGACTGGTCTTCATGTCAATGAAATCTTTACTGTTGACAAGGGCGAAATTGGAGAGTTTGGTTTTAACATAAACAGGAGAGATTCAGATATCATAGAAATAGGTATACATGTTCCGGACGTTGCGTCAGTGATAGAACATGGAGGTTTTATTGATCTTGAAGCTAGGAAAAGAGGTATTGACTATGAAACGGGAGAAAAATTCAACTTTTCTTATTTTCTTCCACAGGGTCTTAGAAAAAAGGTTGGTTTCGTTATTGAAGAAGAGAGAAGAGCATTATCTTTATTCTTTTCATTTGAAAAATGTGGAGATGACATTTCAATAAATCCAAATACAGAAATAAAAACTACGGTAGTGAAAACAGTACGTAACTTTTCAATGCTCGAAGCAAATAGCTTAATGAAAAACAGAAACGTGTCAGAAGATCTAGGAATACTTGGGTTGTTATCGGAAAAATTGCGGAAAGATAGACTCAGCAATGCAATCTTTTATGAAGATGTAAGCACATACTTTCTCGATGAAGATGGTGCATGTGACTACATCCAAAAAGGGTTATTCGAGATTTTACTCTATGCCGATTCTAAAGTTGCAGAATTTTTGTTGCAATCATATCCAGAATGTGTACCACTCAGGTGCCAGAGTAAACCTTCAAAAAATGCTGTCACACAGTGGATACAATATCACGACTCACGTGTAGATGGAACTTTAATGTCTCTCCAAGGAATAGAGATGAATGACGAAAAGTACTCTGTTCTCCGAAAAATTCAAAAAAATGAAAATCTCATTCCTGTTCAGGTTTGTGCTGTTGAAAAGATTCGAAAATGCTGCGCAAATGTAGATGATCTAAAGGATGTTAAAAAACTACTAGGTGCAGATAGAATACATCCATTTCAATGTTTGGCATCTGAAGATTGGACATCAATACAAGAAAACGCAGGCTATAGATGCTCTTCGAACAAAATGGAGGACTTGGGTCATTTTGACCTAAGATTATCATGGTATACACCGTACAGCAAGCCTCTATCGAATTATTTGGGTATAGTTGTTCAAAGACTGGTACATGCAGTGAAAGATTCCCGAATTTGCCCATTTAAAAAATCAGAGATTGAGAAGATCTGTATGGAAATATCAGACAAAAAACGACAAGCTAGACAGTTTTATAGAAACTGTCAAATGATTATAATCGGGCACAAATTTAAGAAACACCCAGTCCTTCTCAATGGATTTTTGCAAAAAATTACCGAGTCTGACATACAAGCATGCTTTCCAGCGCTGACGTCACTGCATAAGTTGAGCAAATCCATTCCGTTAAATCTTATGCACACGAGACAGAGGCCTGTTCTTGATAATGGAGCTGTAACTATGAAATGGCAAAGTAGAATATATTCTCAAAGATTTAAAACTAAATCAACACCAAAAGATAATGTGTATCTGAAATTGGATCCAAATTTGTCAGTCACATTTCAGAGTTTAGTTAAATGGGCAAAACTTTTGCGTGCTTTAGTGAAAGGAGAGGATGACAAGATAAGAAAACTTGCATTTGAGCTTGACTCCAAAGTTTTCAAGACAAATGACACGGTCAATGACGTTTGTTCAGAAGTCATGGAAGGGAATTTTGCCAACCAAACTTGTACCTACAGTCTGTCTTTCAAATTTGGCCAGCTTCTCAAAATACAGATGTCTGCTACACCTGAAAGAGGAGTGTTGATACCGATACCTCAACTGTATGATATCAGTCCAAATGTGAAGTTCTGTCTTCAACATGTGCGAAATCCAGTAGAATATTTCTCACATTTTGCCAAAAATCATTCAAAAAATGAATATTCGTCCTGCGAAAATTACGTAGAGGTTTGGTCACCGATTATTTCTATGGAAATAGCATCACAGTGTGCCAGAGAACCTTCAATTACAATGTGTGATGTACCAATAGTTTTTAGAGAACACGGAGGTTCATTCGCTTTGAGATACTCTTACCTAGAAAAAAGAGACATTGAGTTCACAGCTCAGTCAGTGGATTTGCTTCCTAATGATAAAAACCATTTGTCGAGTGGACTGGATTTTCTGTGCATTAGATGTCCGTTGAACTCTAATCCAAGAATAACTTCAACTTCTGAAAATGATGCAATATGTTCCAAACAAAGCTATTGGATTGGTCATGCCAGAGTTGCCGACATCCAACACAAGTCTTTGAACAAAGACGTTGTCCGTGTGCACTTTGTCTGTCATAAAAGCAGTCCAAAAATTCCTGAAGAAATGAAAAATAAAAGACGAGAATGTCATTTAGAAGTTTTGCAAGTTTTTGATGTTATCAGGTATAGTTTCTTTCTCTTTTTCTCTAAATACTAATTATTTCGTATATTTCATTTAAAGCAAATTAAAACATTTATTTTGTGTGCACAAAAATTTCAGTTTTTTTTTTAAATAGTTTTGTTTGCAGGAAGTTGTGTGGACTTTATCATAAAACAATAAAATAATTTTAATAAAATTATTTAACCCTGTACCCTGTAGAAAGTGTTTTATTTACTTTGAGAACATTGTTGATTTTTCATCACTTAATGGTGTTATTAAAATACTTATATTAATAAATAAAGTGTGAAATAATTTTCAGAAAATTCAAGTAAAATTAAATTAGCTGAAGTACACTGTTAAAACTAATGCTGAATTTTAGCAAGAAAAAAGTTAAAAATTCTTTTAATCTTTTAAAGCTTGAAATCTTTCTGGGAATCGATTTTCATATATCTCAGATAAGAGAGAATTGTTTCAGATATTGATTTTGTTTTACACATGTAACTGTCAGTCCACATTTGACAAATATGAGTGATTGAGGTATATGTTTTAAAAAGAATGTTTCAACTCTTTTAGGAGAACAGAGATGTATATAAAAAGGTTAGAAACAGCTTCAAGTCTTGCACAAGCCATTGCGCAACGAAAAAGGACACCGCCCTTAGGTAATTATAATGCCAACTCCAATGTTTTCTATTACATGCAAACTGATATAAAGAATAATTTTGATCTGTATATGTGTGTATATTTGTAGATCCTGATTATCTAGATATCGTTAAAAAGCAGAAAATAACCGTTAATGAACTCAAGATCCAGTGCAATAATGATCAACGAAAGGCTGTGCAAAATGCTTTACATTCGAGTTTTTCTTTGATTCAAGGTCCTCCAGGTAATTTCAATCATTCATTCTTACGAGATAACACAATTTTTAACGCGCTTCATATTCAATTATAAGATACTCATGTTTTGAAATATTTACTTTAACAAAAATATATATATATAAAATTAGCTAAAGGTTAAATTAAAACATGAATTGAATACTTCTTTTGTATAAAAAAAAAAAAAAAAAAAAAAAAAAAAAAAAAAAAGATGAAAGATAGAAAATAAAAGACGGAATCTGCTGGGAATAACACACTTTACTACATGTAAATTTCAGATTGACATAATTCTAATGAATACTATCTGGAATCGATCTAGTAAACACTTAGATCAATATAACACATGATAATATATTTTACCTTTTAAGGTACAGGGAAAACTTTCACTGGTGTTGCTTTGATCAAATTGTTTTGCTCCATCAACCAAGACTTAAAGGACAAAAAACACGTCGTCTTTTGTGGGCCTTCAAACAAATCAGTTGATTTAGTTACAGGTATGCAAAAAAAAAAAAAAAAAACCCAGATTAATTATTTATAAGTAACCGATATTATATCGGATTTTAAATATAACTTAAGGTATTCTTAAAATAATTATGAAATTTTGATTGACAATATCTGAAAAATTAGAAAAGTGAAACTTGTTTAAAAATATCTCTCTTGTCAACCTGGTAGTCTCCAGCTCAAAGTCAAAATAAGACAGAAAAACCTTTTGATAAATAAAATATGGACTTCTATCTTGTAACACATATGAACTTTAACCTTGTAATATATATACATTAAACATCTTCAAATTTTTTTAAAGAACAAAGATTCAACAGTTAATTGTATATATATTAACGAATTTTAATGAATGGTATATATATATATATATATATATATATATATATATATATATATATATATATATATATATATATATATATATATATATATATATTTAATCTTGTCATATAAAATGTCAAATTATCAAACGATTGTTGGTCAATTTGATCTGCCAAAAAGGAATCACAGATTAAACAAGCAAAACTTTTTGGGTGGTCTCCTTTTTTAAGTCACTTGAGCTGAAAGCTCAAGTGAGCTTTTCTGATCACATTATGTCCATCGTTCGTCTGTCTGTCTGTCTGTAAACTTAACACATTTTCGACTTCTTCTCAAAAAACCACTTGGCCAATTTCAACCAAACTTGCCACAAAACGTCTTTGGGTGAAGGAAATTCAATTTTGTTCCAATGAAGGGCACTCCTTTTTTTCAAGAGGAGATGATTAAGAATTAGTGAAAATTTAGAGGCATCTTTTAAAAATCTTCTCGAGAACCACTGGGTAAAAAAAAATTGAAACTTATATGAATCCTTTTTTACATGGTGTAGATTCAGATTTGTTCAAATCATGACCCCCGGGGCTAGGGTGGGACCACAATTGGGGATAAAAGTTTTACATAAGTATATATAAGAAAATATCTTTAAAATCTTCTTCTCAAGAAAAGTTAAGTAATGTTTAGCCATATTGATATGGAAGCATCCTCAGGAAGTGTAGATTCAAGTTTGTTCACATCATTACCCCCTGGGATTGGGTGGGGCAACAATGGGGGATCAAAGTTTTACATAGGAATATTTAGGAAAAAATCGTCAAAAATCTTCCGCTCAAGAACAACAAAGCCATGATTCGTCTTATTAATAGGGAAGCATCCTCAGATAGTGAAGATTCAAGTTTGTTCAAATCTTGATCCCCGGGGTTAGGGTGGGGCCACAATGGGGAATCAAAGTTTTACAAAGGAATATATAGGGAAAAAATCTTTAAAAATCTTCTTCTCAAGAACAGCAGAGCCATAATTAGTCATATTAATATGGAAGCATCCTCAGGTAGTGTAGATTCAAGTTTGTTCAAATCATAACCCCGGGGATAGGGTGGGGCCACAATGAGGGATCAAAGTTTTACATTGGAATATATTGGGAAAAAATTCATCAAAAATATTCTTCACAAGAACAGCAAAGCTATGTTTAGTCATACTGATATGGTAACATTCTTAAGTACATGTAGTTAATATTCAAGTTTGTTCAAATGATGAACCCCCCTCCCCCCGGGGTTGGGTGGGGTGACAATGCACTATCAGGGTTTAACATATGGATATATTGGAAGAAAATCTTTTTCTCAAAAACAGGAAAGCCATGTTTAGTCATATTGATCTGGAAGTATCTTGAGGTAGTGTAGATTCAAGTTTGTTCAAATCATGACCCTGAGGGGTAGGATGGGCCAATCTATAAAAATCATGACACTGGGGGGGGGGGGGGGTGTCACAATAAAGGTTAAAAAATTTACATAGGAATATTTAATAGAAAAATCTGCTGATGAAGAACAACAGGGCCATATTAACTCAGGTGAGCGTTGTGGCCCATGGGCCTCTTGTTTAAGAGATATTGTAGCAACTGCTTTTTGTAGAAGAGAGTGTGTTACGAGATGAAGAGATTAGATGAGATTAGTAAAAGTTTGAGAAATCAGCGTATGACTTTCAAACTATGTGTAGCATTTTGTACGTAAATTAGCTCTTTTTGTACATGGCTCTGTACATCCTGGTCTCCAACCTGAATTTCTTTCGAATCAGCAAGCTACAGTAAGCCTTAGGTATTTAAGAAAAGCAGGGCAACAGTAAGTTAAATTATTTTGCAAGCATTTCAAAGTAGGTACATTCATTTTTTTTTTAAATCGTGACCTCATGGGGCTAGCATTGTATCATAGTAGTGTCTCAAATTTTGCCCATTGAATTAAATAAATATCAATTCACATTGGACAGAATACTTGATTGAAACTTATGGATCATCTCTAAAAGTACTCAGAATGTACAGTAGTGCTTTGGAGTGCAAAGAATTTCCGATCCCAGGAAAAGTGTTCTCTCCTAGACAAACAAATTACGTCCCTAACGAAGGAATACAAAAAGTAACACTTCATCACCTTATAAGAGATGCAGGGAAACCATATGCTGAAAAAATAAAAGAATTTGACAGAAAATTCAGCAGGCAATCTTCAATTGACTACAGAGAAATAAAGAAGTACAAAAGTTATATTGCATCAGCAATTCAAGAGGAGGTGCCTAATTATGACGTCATCCTTTGTACAACAGCCGTAGCGACTAGTGCTCGTTTGTTAATTGCAACGAAAAACTCAATTTTTCAACTACTGATTGACGAAGCTGGAATGTGCACAGAACCCGAATGCTTATCTGTCATAATAGCGACAAACGCAAAACAGATAGTCCTTATTGGTGATCATAAACAACTAAGACCAGTTGTGCTCTGTCAAGAAGCTGCCGAACTCGGTCTTCAGAAATCTCTATTTGAACGATATGCAGAATCAACTGAGTCTGTACTTACATTTTTGAGAGACCAGTATAGAATGGTAAGTGTCCTTAAACAACACAGATTGTAACGGGAATATCTGCCATTGATATGCCATGCATATGTATCTTGCAGTTGTTATTATCGCTATGTAGTGTAAGATTATGGTGTCAATTACAGGCGCTTCACAAAAGTAGAAATAGGGGAATATGTGTCAAGAAATGAAACAATTTTCATTTTTTTGTCCAACATTCTCAACTTTTAAGTGATTCTACCCTCAAACTTTATGGATCAAAATTATTATTAATGAAAAAAAGATAGTGATCAACCTTTTTCAAGATGCCATCTAGACATGATAGCGTAAAACTCAGCATTGAAAGAAATGCACATTTTGGAGAATAGCATTAAAATTGCCGCATTAAAAATGGGACAAATGACAATTTCAATATTGAAAGTTTCAAATACATAATTATGTATTAATTGTGGATATCAAGGAAATTATTTTACAGTGGAATTATAATAAAGGAAAGGCATTTATAAAGAAATATACGTAAGAGGTATTGTCGTTATAACTGTACTTTAAACCCACAGTGTTGCCATATATATTTGGCAATTCTTTTCTTTTCGATAAATATCTACTAGCATTAACAAACTGAGAATATGAAAATAATGTATAATAATTTTTTGTAACTAGGCAATACATTTCTGGCTTTATTTCACTACTTTCTTCACCAACATATTTAAGGATAAAAAATTGTTCTTTTTTAGCATCCTAGTTTGTGTAGATTTCCATCGAAACATTTTTATGGTGGCATGTTGAAGACAATACCCTCTCCCAAGTGGGAAGTGATAGAACCTCTTCATATGTGGCGCGATCCGAAAGATCCATGTGTATTTTGCCATATTGAAGGCGAGGAGGAATACTTGTCCTATTCAACAGACGAGGGAAATGAAATGTCTCGGTACAACATGGCAGAGGTCGACCAAGTTGTGAGTATCTGTAGAAGGAAAAAAAACTTAACACTCTGTTTTACTAAATATTTTGTTATCTCAGCCAACGAAGGGGGTAATCTCCAAGAAGTTCGGTGAAATTTAAAAAAAAAAGTAACTTAGAATAGGAGAAAACTTATTAAACTTTGATAAAATCTCCGCTTAAACACAGCTACACTGTCTATATTTTTAGTCCCCTATCGGTGAAACCGGAGGGGACTATAGGTTTCCTCTGAGTCTGTCCGTCCCTCTGTCTGTCTGTCTGTCCCTTTGTCTGTCTGTCAGTCTGTTCCACTTGGTTTTCCGTACTTTTTTCCTAAATGCTTGCAGATATTGAGCTGATTTTTGGTATGTTAGTTTATCTTGATGAGTTACAGATCAAGTTTGCATTTTGTTCCGCTTCATTGATTTTTGACGGAATTACGACCTTTTCAATTTTAAGGGTTTTCTGCATTTTTTTTCTAAACGCGTATAGATATTGAGCTGATTTTTGGTATGTGACTTAACCTTGAATACTTACAGATCAAGTTTGCATTTCGTTCCGCTTTAATGATTTTTGACGGAATTACGGCATTTTCAATTTTTAACGGGAACCAGATTACACTTGCCGGTAGGGGACTAGTATTGCTAATGCAATACTCTCAGAATGCTTGTTTTATTTTCTTTTCTTTTAGTGGAAGATTGTATTCTCTGAGCGCCCTCTATTTCATTCTTTCATTTCATCTTTTTGATGTCCTATTTTCTTGTATCTCTCTCTCTCTCTCTCTCTCTCTCTCTCTCTCTCTCTCTCTCTCTCTCTCTCTATATATATATATATATATATATGCTAGACATTTTTTTTCTTAAATAGGTGAAAGTATTTAGGCATTTGGTCAAAAAGGAAGGTGTTGACTATGCTGATATCAACATCATGTCGCAATACAATGCACAGTGCAGTAAGATCAGACTTGCCCTCAAAAAACAAAAGTTGTTCGTGCAGAATGTGAATACTGTTGTGGCGAGTCAAGGTAGTGTTTTTAATTTAGTAAATGAATTTGAGATTAATTCGTGGTATTTTGTTTAAGTACATGTATGGATTAGAAAGGGGATTTTAACGACAAAGAATTTTATCTCCTTTTAGGCGGAGAATGGGACTACGTGATTTTTAGCCTAGTGCGATCACTTCCTGAATACAGGATAGAACCAAAGCCCACCCATGGCTGGTGTATTGAAAATCTCGGTTTCATCACGGATATTCATCAAATTAACGTTGCGCTAACAAGGGCAAGAAAGGGATTGATTATAATAGGTAATTAAGCCTGAAAGCATCGATTTCAATTGGTTAGACAAAAAACTATATTAAATGATGTACATTGCTTTTCATTTAAATGATGTACATTGCATTTCAATAGATTATATACTTTGGACTGCAAAGGTGACTAAAATAGATTAAAGGTGTCTCTTATAGTCTTTCACATTTTTTATGGAAAAATATCAAGTTTTCGCTAGAATTTTCAATTTCAGTTCTGTTTGCATTTTTTCTTTCTTGCTATTGTCAAAATTCTGTTTTTATGTTTGGTATTATTATTTTTAGGAAATATGAAATTAATGGAATGTGACGATTTGTTTGGTGCGTTACTGGAAGACTATCGAGAAAACCGCTGTGTTGTCGACGCAGAGAATTTTCCTCCACTGCAAAGAGGAAAGGGACACAAAAAATAAATGCAAATTGGATGGTTTCAGCATTACAATATTGTTTGATTAACTCAAAAATGTTTTATTGTAGATGTATAATATTTTTCTATAACCATATGGATTTATACAAAGTCAAACTGTGATATAAAAATGTGGGTTTTTTTATTGAATCTTATTTTACAATTGTTTAACTTTTAAAACTTTTAAAAACTTTTTAAACTTCACATTATGCAATCGTTAGTGGTTGCAATATTTTGTTAGCTATTTAACCCCATGAACCAAAAGTTTTGACCAACATCTACCACCAGTCTCCCTGTTTGAAAGGCTTGTGGGGCTAATCTGCCATTCCTTGTTCGAAAAACATGTGGCTCAAATTTTTAACCAATGTTTGCATAAAGTATTATGTGAAAATGGTCATATACTCATATATGTGTATTTTTATACCCTCAACAGGAATACTTTTTAAACTGCAACAGTAGAGTAAGTTCACTTAACATTTCTCTCTTTTAACGATGATATATGTAGATATTAAAGATTTACATGTAAGCATATTTATTTAGATAAGTTTCAAGCTCACCTGAGCTGAAGGCATCTTTGGTTTTAGGGGATTGAAATTTGCTCTTATAAAGGGACACGCCTTCTTTCAATAATTAAGAATGGGCTAAAAGTTAATGCCATCTTTAAAAATCTTCTCAATTACCACAGGGCCAGAAAAAGATGAAACTTTTGAGAAAGATTCATTACATTGTGTAGATTCAATTTTGGTCTAATTATAACTCCGAGGCTTTAGGATGGGGCCACATAAGGTGATTAAAATTTTACATAGGAATATATAAGAAATTCTTTAAAAACCTCCCAACAACAGCAAAGTCATTATTACTCATATTTATACCAGTAATTGTATATTCAAGTTTGTATAAATAATGACCCCCCGGAGGTAAGGTGGGGCCACAATGGGCGATCAAATTTTTACGTTGGAATACATAGAATTTTTTTTTAATATTCCCAAGAACAGCAAGGTCATGATTATTCTTAAATATTTGACAGCATCCCCTAATTGTGTAAATTCATGTTTATTAAAATTATGACCTCCAGGGCTAGGGTGGGGCTAAAATGGTCAACCATATTTTTACATAGGATTACATTGGGGGAAGTCTTTTAAAAGTCCTTGTCAAGAACAGCAAAGTCATGATTATTCACTTTATATGACCCATTCCCAGGTAGTATACAATTATGTTTGTTTAATCTTAATCCCCGGGATGGAGTCACGGTTGGTGATTAAAGTTTTACATAGAAATATATAGGAAATTATATATATATATATATATATATATATATATATATATATATATATATATATATATATATATCAGGACCCCTGGATATGTGACCAATGGGTCTCTTGTTTCAGATATGCTTGTTATTACATAGCAAACTTATTGAATTACAATTGTTTTTACATTTTTCCTCAATCTGATAACATTTATAACTCTGTACAGTATAATTGATTTCACTGCATATTATTTTATCATTTATAAAAGATACTTTTGAGGATAAATATTATGTTGATTTATTACACGTTTACATATTTGAGCGTTTTAAGGTACATATCTTTTTTATGTGAAAACTATATTATTGTCTACCTATGCATAACCTTTAGAACAAATTTTAATTTTATGTTGAAATGGTTTTTGTGTTGTATTTACAATGAAAATTCTACTTACAACAACTGATAACTGTATGAAATATTCAACAATCAATGATAACTAGATTCTATTGTCAACAAAGGCCTATTTAGTTTCCTTTACAAAACTAGTTAGGCATTTTTTCAAAGATTTCTTTATCTCTTCTTAATTGAAGACCTGTATGTATGACATAAAATTTTAATTTGTATGGGAAAGAAAATACTGGTTCTTTTTTTTCAGCCGATGCAACTCTCAAAGACATCAACTGTAGTTACGACCTAGATCATGTTGACCAATTCCCTATTGTTTTTTTTATTATCTTAAAGGATTTTTATCACGTCTCAAAATGTTTTGATATGACAAAGTTTACATGTTATCAAATTCATGTTTAAAAATTCTTAGCTAGAAAATTAATATTTTGGATGTTTCAACGATCCAAAGTTTGAATTTCTCAATATGTATATTTTGATCGCCGATGTCACGCGTCATTGCTCTGTAATGCAAAGTTAAGTACCTATTGTTTGTCTGTTTATTGTTTAACGTCCCTCTCGAGAATTTTCACTCATATGGAGACGCCACCATTTGCCTGTGGAGAGCTGTAAATTTTTACCTATACTCGGCACTCAGGGCCATTGAGCAGTGAGGGATCTTTTTCATGCCAACACCTACTGCGACACGGGACCTCGGTTTATACGGTCTCATCCGAAGGACCGGTCTCCACGTCCCACAGTGGGATTCGAACCCGCGACGTAAGGATCAACTCCTTACTCCGCGACTCTAGAGCGAACGCTCTAACCACTGCGCCACGCTGGCGACCAAAGTACCTATTGTGTATACAAGACCGGTTTATTTGTTGCATCTATTAAAATAAATAAGTGCTTATTGGATAATTGACAACTAGTAAGGCATAATTTTTGGCTTTAGGATGCATAAATGTGCACAAAAAATGTTCTAAGAAGATTTTTTTTTTACATTTCCTGGACTTGGTCGAGAGCTGAAAGGGGGCCTTTATACGCGAGGGCTTTGACTCCATGCAGAACAATTGTTTATGCCCCATCCTAGCCTCCGGGTCACGATTTTTTCTGTACTTTAAAATATTTTAAGGAAATGGTACTTTAAAAAAAATCAAATCATTATAATAATAACCAACACGCATATTTTAAAAGTCGCACAAAATAGAGTAGGAATGCTGTAAACTTCGTAATGGCGTGTGGTGCCGTTGAAAAATGTCATTTCACTGCTGGAACAAATAGAAGATATACAGAAACTACCATATATATAATTTATTAAAATAATGAAGGAGAATATAAAATTCCCATATTTATAAATATTGAGGAAGTCAAACTTTAGTAATTCTTATTATTTGGTCGAAGTCCCAAGTTGTCAACGTCTTCAATGTCCCCTCCAATTGTCGGCATATTTTCTTGGTTATTTCTCTCTGCTAGACGCTCATATATAAAGGATTGACCGTCATAACTAAAGGAATATCGTCGATGTCAAAATTTCCATCGACCATATTGTGTAGTCTATTTATTTAACGTCAAAATATATTTGATATATTTTTTCTTATGATAAGCTTTACGAGGTCTAATTGACCATTGACACCTATGACGACTCAGTAGAACGTGACCCCTACCTAAATAGTGGAGATTTTTACTTCGAGGATCCTATATCACAGGCGTTTTATGGCCTACTTACGTCCGTTTTCACATATTATTTCATCATTTTTCATGTTTCGAGAATACAATAGTGTTTTCATTTTTCAGACATTTAGATACGTGATAAAAACCCTTAAGTGTATGTAACTCCTGACACTATTTATATGAAGGATTTATTGAAAAGTATATCTTAGGCGAAAGAAATTTAATTTTTAGTTTTACGGATTTTTTTTCAAAAATTTTGGGTAGGAGGAGGAAAAAAAGAAGAAGAAATTTTTATCATTCAATTAAAGTTTGATCATACCTTTATGTCTTTTGCCATTCATTGCAATTTGTGTTGCTGGTTGACACATGGAACTCGTCATAAATATTAAAGATTGACTTATAAAATATCACATACCAGTGTCAATTATTTGGACATGCCAATTTACAAATGGACAAAGTTTTCAGATACCCAAAGAATACCTGTCGTGTAATGAAACCTTAGCTAACACTTTCCAGTACCTGCATAGGTACATTTCTCAAAGACCATTAGTCTTTAGGGCATTATTATCATCTGAGTAATATACTAGCTATCAAGCTGGTGACACAAATTACTTTTGAAGACACAAAATGTAGGATATCAGGCCTTTCAAAATCTGCCAGTACCCAGTACTTTTTACCCGGCTGAAATTATGATTGTACCGGCCAAAATATTTGATGGAGAAAAATTTGATAAAATATTTAGATAAAATCGCTTTCATTAGATACCTCCTATTTTTAGTAAAAGTACTGTCTGTTTCTAATCTTCTTGAAAGCCCTAAGATATGAACAGAATAAATCAGAAATTGAACCTGTGTATGCAAGAAACTAGCTTTTTTTGCAAACAGAAAGGATCATCTAAAAAAAAAAAAGAATATGATTTTTAAAAAAGCAGCATCCATATAATGATCAAAAAATTTCATCCATGTATAAAGGAGTAGAATAAACAATACATGTATGTATTATTTTAATTACATGTAAATATGGCAGGGTGAATCAAGTAATTACTTTTATTCACAAGTCTAAGGTAATGTATATGCAGTAAACATGCCCAACAACTTAGATAATCTGATCTTCATATCAAAATTCCATCAAACTAAATCCAAAGATAATAAAGAGATTAATTGAAGACTGTGATTAAGGTGGACTCATTATGACAGAAGCCTTACTACATACCTTACCAAAATGCTATCGACGGAAGTTTCGTATAACATATTACAATTTACACACTGACATGACAATTAAAAAAAAAATTTTTTAATTTATTTAAATTTACATTTAATTTTTACACAAGGAATTAGATATTAGGTTATTTTTAAAACAATTAAAGGTGTGAATCAAGCTCTTGCATGCACCAAGAATTATCCGTTGGAGACATATTGTTTACAATGGAAGTTGAAAATGAATGTCGAAAAAACGAAGATTCTAGTATTTTCAAAGGGTCCTATGTTAAAAAGAAAATTTTATTACGACAACTTAGTTATTGAAAATGTTAGAGAGTTTAAATATCTAGGCGTTGTTTTTTCACGCACAGGTTCCTTTTGTAAAACAAAACAAAAACACTTATATGAACAAGCACAAAAAGCGATGTATGGCATTATAAGAAAAATTAGACAATTCCAATTACCAGTAGACTGTCAATTTGACCTTTTTGATAGAGTTGTAGTTCCAGTCTTAC